TATTTATTTTAGTTTTTTTGAGACAGGGTCTCTCTGTGTAGCCCTGGCTGCCCTGGAACTTGCTAAGGAGACGAGGCCGGCCTTGGTCCCAGTACTCCAGAGAGATTTCCCTACCTCTGCCTCTGGAGTACTGGGATTAAAGGTGTGTACCACCACACCCACATTAAGAAAATATTTTTAAAATTACATTTTGTTGGGAGCTACAGATCACTGGCCCCTTGGCTTTCTTTGCCTACAGCTGCTCTGAGCACGAGACCTTGATGGCAGGCTGAGGAGACCTACAGCTGAGAGATCCTGAGAGCAGGGCGTGGCTAAGGATCCCTACAGAAGCTTCCCTGAGCACAATAAACTGGGCATTGGCATTCTCTGTCTGTTTTTAAGTCTCCAGCTTAGTTCCCAGCTCGTCTTGTTGTGGCACGGGCGCTATAGGACAGGAACAGGACCTTTGGCTTTTACAACATTTATTTGTGAGATCTCACAAGATGAAAATGATAATGGTGATAATGGTAAATCCAAATAAAACCTTTCTTCTAAAAGAAAGACAGAGAGAGACAAAGACAGAAAGAGAGACAGTGAGACAGAGATAGAGAAAGGAAGAGACAGAGATAAAGGCGAGAGACAGAGAGATAGAGGGAGGGAGAGACAGCAGAGAGAGAATATGCTATAATAGGGAATAAATGAGATTAATTTATTTAACAAGTTGCAGCTAGGTGATGGTGGTACAAACTTTTAATCCCAGCACTCGGGAGAGAGAGGCACGCGGATCTCTGTGAGTTCAAGGCCAGCCTGGTCCGCAAAGCAAATTCCATGACAACCAGAGCTCTACAGAGAAACCCTGTCTCAAAAAACAAAAAACAAACTAAAGGACTGCAGCGAACTTCTCGACCAGCGAGAAAGAACAACCACCACACGAGGATTCTTCTCAGATCACGCTTTAATGGAGTGCCCTTGGTTGAGGGAGAGCAGGAGGCAAGGCCCCCCCCCCCAGGACTAAAGCACCTGCTTATATAGGGAGTAGGCACACGGGTTGCCCTGTGATTGGCTGCCACCATCAGCTGACACCAGACTGCATCGGGATAGGCCCAAAGGACTCTAAACCACCCCGCCTGCGGGAAGGGGGGGGGACACGCAGCTCCCAAAGGCATAGCCAAATATAGAGTTGTTTATTTCCAACAAGACAGGATATCAGCGCCATCTTGTAATGGTGATCCTGTCCGGCTCCCTGCAAAGGACCAAGTTGCTATAAACGCCAGGTGGGTGACAGGCACACGCCTTCAGGCCCAGGGCTTGGCGGTGAAGGCAGGAGGACGTAGTACAGACTTACAGATCTTTCCCTGGCTGCACAGGGATTGCAGTTTGAGGCCAGCCTGTGGCACAGACGTTGTCTCAGGGAAAGAAATGTTAATAATAAATAAAAAGTACACGGGTCCAGGACTGGGATGTGGCTCATTGATAGAACACTTGCCTGGCGTTTGTAAGGTTTGATCACTGATAGAACACTTGCCTAGCGTTTTTAAGGTTTGATCCGTGTCACTGCCAAAATAAAGAAACCTGCTCTCAGTTAACATGCACGGGGCCAGGCCTTGTGCTAGGCTCTCTGCTCCGTGGCCTTAGATAACCACTAGCCGCCCAGGAGACTGAACTATGATCATGCCACTTTAGAGGAAACTGAGTGCAGGACAAGGACTCGTCCCCTGACCCATGGGACGCCAAGTCTTTCTGAGGCAGGGTCTCACCATGTAGCCCTGGCTGGCTCAGAGCTCACTGTGTAGTCCAGGCTGGCCTTGAATTCATAGAGATCTGTCTGCTTCCATCTCCTGCATGCTGGGATTAAAGTTATATGCACCATCATGCCCGGCCAAGTCTCGGATCTTTTTTTTTTTTTTTGGTTATTCGAGACAGGGTTTCTCTGTGGTTTTGGAGCCTGTCCTGGAACTAGCTCTTGTAGACCAGGCTGGTCTCGAACTCACAAAGATCCGCCTGCCTCTGCCTCCCGAGTGCTGGGATTAAAGGTGCACCACCACCGCCCGGCCAAGTCTTGGGTCTTAACCAATGTTTTCCTTCGCCTCCTAATGTCAGGCTGCTGGAGTTACAGCTCGCGGGAGTGGGGCTCTCCCATCAGGAAACAAGGGTGAGAAGTTAGAGGTTAGCCTGTGAGGGGCAGGTCTTCCTCAGGAGATGCAGAGCCCAGGGATGTGTCCCTGGGAAGAAGCTGGCTGGTCATATAATGGCTATGTCCTTCCTTTGCTAGACCACACGCACCGTCCCAGGTTCCCATCTGCAAAACGAGATTCTTGAGCTAAGAGGCCTCAACCAGATCCCTACCACTCAGAACAGTTCTCCTGGGACTGGAAGAACACCTGCCTACACAGCATGGCTAAGACTGTGGGCTCGATCCCAGCACCACGAAGAGGGAGAGGACCAAACAACCAAACTCACTTAATCCAGAGACCTAGACGAAGTACACATGGAAAGTCACACACACACAGATATGTCCAAGTATTAACAAACTAATACTCGTGAGCCAGACAGGGACTCACTATGTAGAACAGGCTGGCCTCACCAAGAACTGCCTGTCTCTGCATCCTGAGTGCTGGGATTAAAGTGTATCCTCTAAGTAGAGCATGCCAGTATTTCGTTCCTGTTACATGGCTTTGCCACATTTAGTTCATCCACTCCCGGTTGATGGACAACGCTCTTGCAGGCCAAGGTATGGATACCCATGCTGTACAAGCAAACAAAAAAACCAAACCAGGGGCTGCAGAGATGGCTCAGCAGTTGGGAGAACTGGCTGTTTGCCTAGAGGACCCGAGTTCAATTCCCAGAACCCACATGGCAGCTCACAACTGTCTGTAACTCCAAGATCTGACACCCTCACATAGACATACATCCACACCAATACACACAAAATAAAAATAAATAAATATTTTAGCCGGGCAGTGGTGGTGCATGCCTTTAATCCTAGTACTTGGGAGGCAAAGGCAGGATCACTGTGAGTTCGAGTACAGCCTGGTCTACAGATCTAGTTCCAGGACAGGCTCCAAAATTAGAGAAACCTCGTCACGAAAAACAAACAAAACAAAACAAAACCAATCCCAAAACCAACCAACTAAACAAACAAAAAAACCAAAACCAAAACCAAAAAACGAGAGAGACATCTCTGAGAGCCAGGAACAGCCTCCCCTGCCCCCCCCCCCCCCCCCAGGTTACCTACAGACAGTATCCTAACGCTAATGTCCCAGGACTTGGGAGGTTCTTGCTCTCTTTCAGGCCCCATTATGTCGGCCCTAGGGTCCTGGCGAGCTCTTTCTGCTAATGCTCCCTCCCCACCCCCACCGCCGCCTGTGTTGTGAGGCTGCCGTTCCTGACACGGCTCAGCTGAAAGGAAATTTGTACATCTCCAGGAACCTTTCTTTTCACTCCGGCCCAGTCTCCTGTCCCTGTACTCTCTGTAGCAGTCGGCCATCTTCTCTGTGGATCTAGAGCCCGAGGCTGCCTCTGCTCACCTAGGCTCTGGCCACACACTGCAACTCCTACCGGGAGGCCTACCGCCTCTACACGCTGCGGTTGTTTGCCTTCCTCGCTTCCTGCGCCATTCAATTCAATTACCCCGGGGTGGGATTGGTCTTCCTGGCCAGCCCCTGCCGGATGCATCTGAGCAAAGCACCTTCTAGATCACACACCGCTCCCCGATTTCTAAATTACTCGCGCTGCTTTCACTCGGTGAAATACTATAGCCTAGCTGGTGGCTGCTGGTAACCCTGATCTCTGGGGGGAAACAAGAGCCTCGCTTTGTAACATTTGCCAGTTTCTGAGATGTAAATACTCCCACCACGGCCAATTTCAAGCCATCAATCTGCCACCGCTGAGCAGAGCGGAGAGGAGAGCTAGGAAATGCGCTCCGGGAGGGGGCGGGAGCGACTGAGAAAGCTTCAGAAACGGAGCGTGAACATCCTGCCAGGAAGCTGCAGTTCTCAGGGCTCCCCAAACCAATCTCTATCAACATCACTGTAAAAAGAGCCACACAGTTCATCTCCACGCTGGTCCTAGTGTCGCATGTCTGCATCCCAATGCGGCATCCCAGCTACTCGGGACGCTGAGGTAGGAGGGAAGGGCAGAGAACCCACACCTGCTGGGAATGGTGTCTGGGGCTGAGGAAGGAGGCCTGCATGTTAAAGGTCAACCTGAGCTTTTACACAATGAGTCCAGGTCTCAAAACAACAAATAAAAATAAGACTTTATATTTATTTTTAGGTTTTTCTTATTCCCAAATATTTCTTAGGTGCTACCGAAGGAGGTGTGTGCCCTTTACCCATTCATATACTGAAGCTGCAACCCCCAGCGTGATATCTGGAGTTGGGGTGTAGGAAGTGAGGTTGAATAAGGTCATAAGGATGGGACCTGTGGTGGTTTCCATTAAAATGGTCTCCACAGACTCTTAGGAAACGGCATTATTAGGGGTATAACCTTGTTAGAGGAAGTGTGTCACAGGGGTGGGGCTTTGGGGTCTCAGAAGCTTATGCCAAGTCCAGTGTCTCTCCCTGTTGCCTGTGGATCCAGATGTAGAACTCTCAGCTACCCCTCCAGCACCATGTAGGCCTGGGTGCCACCATGACGAGAATGGACTATATCTCTGAAACTGTAAGCCAGCCCTAGTTAAATGTTTTCCTTTATAAGAGTTGCCATGGTCATGGAGTCTCTTCACAGCTATGCACTGACTAAGTCAGGCCCCCAGCCAACAGGGAGGAAGGCACGCTCACTCCAGTCTGCCAGCATGCACAGAGCTCCTGGCGCACACAGACAGCAGGACTCAAAGAGGACTCAGAATGAACCCACCTTGCCAGCATTTCCTAGTGCCCACACTCACATGTACACGCACACGCACACACACACATCAGGAAAAACTCGAAAAATTTAAAAGGGGTTGGGACATAGCACAGTAGGCCCTGTATCAATCCCCTGCCCAACAACTAAATAACAAACGAGTAGCTATTTGCTTGTTACTGTTTTTCTTCAATGTTTATTGGTCCTTAGACAGTTTCCTTCTGTGAAGAGTTCAGCTCATATCCACACTCTCCTGTTCTCACCATGACACTGTGAAGGAGACAGGAGCACAGCAGGCCACTTCACACTAGGAGGAGGGGCTCCTGGAGCCACACACCCTACCAACTGTTCTCGGGTACCTGTGGCCTTCCTGGGTGGCAGCCACCACCACCTTCATTTTACAGATAAAAAAGGGACAAGGAAAGGCTAACCTGCCTGAAGTCAACAGCTGTGACAGGCCTGAGTTCACTCAGCGTCCTGCGGCCACTCGAGCAACTCCCCCTCTTCTCAGAGGGAGGCCCAGGAGGGAAGTGGCTGCTGTCAACTGGAGGCCTGGAGGTCCACCCAGTCCCACACGTGCAGAGAGGCATCGCTTGCCGCTGACAACAAAGTTCTGGGTTTGCAAGGGTGCCAGGTGTGGGTGGTGACCAGAGGAGCAGCGTCCACCTCATTTCCCTCCAGGAAGATGTGGCCTTTGTGAGTGAAGAGAGGCTCCACTTGGCTTTCCTTTCCATCCCATGATGTGACGTCATAGATCTGCACTGTCCCATCAAAGCCTGGAGGACACAAAGGAGAGGAGTGACCCTACATCCCTCTCTTTCCTGGGCAACTTCCTCTGCCATGAGATACTCGGAGGCCACCCACGGAGAAAGCTACACCTGCAACAGTGGGCGTGTCCCCATGAGCAGCTGTGAATACCTGTCACCCACCCACAGAGTATTCATAGCTAGGCCTGAGGTGGATGCACGGGTGTGTGTGTGTGTATGCATGTGTGACTGGCTGTAGGTCAGAGAGGCGAACCTTAAGCATCATTTTTCAGACAGTCCACCTTGTTTTTGTCACAGGTCTTTCCATTGGCCTGGAAACTCACCAGTTCGGCTGGGCTGGCCGGCCAATGAGCCCTAGAGCTGCCTGTCTGTCTCCCTGATGCTGGAACTAGAAGAACATCCTTGTTGGGACTGCAGACCGCAGCCCCTTGACTTTCTTTGCCTGCCTCAGACCCTTTGCCTGCTGGAGTAAACTGGGCAAAACAACCTGTTTTCCTGTGCCTGCCGCTGCTCTGGGTATGAGACCCTCATGAGTTCCTGATGGCAGGGGAGTGGGTTCTGGTGGGTTTACAGCTGAAAATCCCAGGAGCTAGGGCATGGCTATCAGTTAAGGATCCCTATATAAGCTTCCCTGGAGCAAAATAAAGTTGGCATTCTTGTTTCAAGGATGACCCATGTCCCCGTGTCTCTGTGTGTCTTTATGTGTTTAAATCTCCAGCCCCTTTTCCAGCTCGCACACCATCCCATAGTGCGGGCACTACACACACTATCACATCCAGCTTTTCCTCCCTCACCCCACCCCCCATCCCCCTGTCTCTGTGAGACAGAGACTGTGTAGCCCTGGCTGACCAGGAGCACTCTATATAGACAAGGCTAGCTTCAAACGCACAGAGAACCACCTCCTCTGTCTCCACAGTGCTGGGATTAAAGGTACAGGTGACCACGGTTGGCAGTGTCCAGGATTACATGGATTCTGAGGATCAAGCTTAGAACCTCAAGCTCGCATGGCAGGCTTTACTGAGTTACGCCCAATGCCAACATGTGTTATCTTTAATCTTCCTAACAGCATCTCCACAGGGCATGGAGACAGAAGAAACTTTCAACCCTTTTCAATGCACTCCAAATTCCAACCCCTCCACCTCTGAGTCCTAGCAGACAGCCTTGTCTCTAGTGTTGGGCCTCTTGTCCATCCGCTGAGGTCCAACTGCCCCATCCCACACTGCTCTTTCCTGTTCTCTCTGGCACTGTTTCTTCTGGATCCTGAACTTCCCTTTGTGCCCTCAACAGTCCTTTCTCACTGGCTTCTAGATGGCCCCACGGAACACACCCTTGCAATGACAACCCCAGGCTCCAGTGTGGCTTCAGTTAAGAACAAAAGCAGACCAGCAGCTCGTGGAGACGCTGCCACCTCTTTTGGGTGCAGCCTTGAGCTGTTCCGGGTCTTACTGTCTACAAGTCTCTCAGCACACCTGGACCTCTGCTAGGCTGGTGATGGCCACTGCTGGTTGGTGCAAGTTTGGTGGCCAGGGCAGAAAGCAACCTGCCTTTGAGGAGCCAGCCCAGAGACCAAAGCGGTGCTCGGGGTAGGCAACCTGAACTTCTGCAGCCAGGTTAGGTGGGGGGGGGGGGGGTACAGATTCCTTCCCAAGCTACCAGCCCTGGGAAGAGCAGTGGTGTAACAGACACACCCTTCTCAACATTACCTGAAATAGCCAAGCAGTTGTCCAGGCCTGGAGCCCAAGTCACTCGCAGCAGCTCGGGGTCAGGGCTGGGTTTGGACACGGGGCACTGGGCTGAGCTCACAGGGTGACAGAGGTTTCGGAAGTCAAGGAGACGAAGCTGCCCATCTGAGCCAAGGCTGGCGATGCAGGGCCCTGGGCCTTGCCCCTGGTTTCTAACATCTGCACACCATCTCTCTCCACTAGAGCCAGGGCTGGGCCTGAGAGTCTCCAACGGTGCCCACTTCTGGCGGGTGTCCACAAGCCCCAGGCGACCTGAGGTGCCACAGAAAGCAAAGGTGTCCGCATCTAGAACCTGAAGGCTGCTCAACAACTCGCTGTCACTGGTACCTAGAAGACGGGGCAAAGAAAGAATGCTGGGGTCCGGCGGGCCTGACAATGTGGACTGCGCCAGGCCCTGTCAGAGCAAGTCATGTTTACACCTCTGCTTTATCTTGCCAGTCTGCTCTACTGGGTGGGTGTTGAGCCCCGGAGGCCAGGGTTAGTACCGCACGCCCCAGCCCCAGGTTCCCCCGGCAGCTGGCAGAGGCCCTAGCCATGTCTCGGGGCTGAGCTGGCTGGAGGAGCCGGCAGGGGGCGCACTACGACAGTACCTGAGCTGTATGTGATCTTCTGGGATTCTATGTCCACAGTCCTCAGGCCACTGAGCCGAGTCCCGTGGAGGATTCCAGGTGCTGCAGAGGAGAAGACAGACACCCGAGGCCAGAGACTCTCCTCTCTGTCCTGCACATCAATGGTACGGACGGCTTCGATGACATCTGAAGGAAAGGGGAAGAGGCCAAAGCGCAGAGAATCAGTGGGGGCTGGCCAGAAACCCCTGACATTGAGAAGGGCAAGGCAGATGGGAGCTGAGACGGTGCTGAGATAAAAACACTCGGGGTTTTGTTCACATTCTTGAACCTGCCAGCAGCACTTTCACGTCTTCATGATCTGCCTTACGAACTATTTTTGCAAACGGGAGACAATGAGTCATTGTGGCCACCTTGAAAGCAAGCAGTTCTGACTTGTTTGGCAGAGAAAAGATGAAGGAAGGGAAGGAGCACTTGACTGTTGTCAGTCACATCTCCAGAGAAAAGCAACAAGTTGAGTTCACAAACCAGCCCCGCTTCTTCCCGAACACGCTCTGGGAGCTCACGGCTGCAGGTGTTGCTGATGAAAATGAAAAGACAGGAGGGCCTGCCTCTAATACAGATTTGAAAAAAATGTACTCAGGTTTTCATCGTTGCACACGAATTACTTTATTTTTTTTAAAGATTTATTTATTAATAATGTGTACAGTGTTCTATACTGCATATATATCTGCAGGCCAGAAAAGGGCACCAGATCTCATTATAGATGGTTGTGAGCCACCATGTGGTTGCTGGGAATTGAACTCGGGTCCTCTGGAAGAGCAACCAGTGCTCTTAACCTCTGAGCCATCTCTCCAGCTCCCCATGAATTACTTTAGTATTGTATCTGTGCACAGGTGTGGGGCAGAGAAGAACTTGCAGGCATCACCTCTCTCTCTCCACCGAGAGGGTCCTGGGATTGAACTTAGACTGCCAGATGGTCAGGCTGGGCAGCAAGTGCCTTTACCTGCTGAACCATCTTGCTGAACCTTTTTGTATTTTTTATTTTCCTTCTCTTTTTGAAACAGGGTCCTACTAGCCCAGGCTGGCCTTAACCTCTTGATTCTCTTGTCTCCATCTCCCACTGCTGGAATGGAATATAAACTTTAATTTTGTTTGGTTTCATCTCCGTAGTTTGCTTGGTCTCTAGCTGTTTCTAGTCTCCGCATCCCACATCACTTGGTCTCCAGCTGTCTCTAGTCTCCGCATCACTTGGTCTCCAGCTGTTTCTAGTCTCCACATCCTACATCACTTGGTCTCTAGCTGTTTCTAGTCTCCGCATCCCACATCACTTGGTCTCCAGCTGTCTCTAGTCTCCGCATCACTTGGTCTCCAGCTGTTTCTAGTCTCCACATCCTACATCACTTGGTCTCCAGCTGTTTCTAGTCTCCGCATCCTACATCACTTGGTCTCCAGCTGTTTCTAGTCTCCGCATTCTACATCACTTGGTCTCCAGCTGTTTCTAGTCTCCGCATCCCACATCACTTGGTCTCCAGCTGTTTCTAGTCTCTGCATTCTACATCACTTGGTCTCCAGCTATTTCTAGTCTCCGCATCCCACATCACTTGGTCTCCAGCTGTTTCTAGTCTCCCCATCCCACATCACTTGGTCTCCAGCTGTTTCTAGTCTCCCCATCCCACATCACTTGGTCTTCAGCTGTTTCTAGTCTCCACATCCTACATCACTTGGTCTCCAGCTGTTTCTAGTCTCCACATCCTACATCACTTGGTCTCCAGCTGTTTCTAGTCTCTGCATTCTACATCACTTGGTCTCCAGTTGTTTCTAGTCTCCGCATCCCACATCACTTGGTCTCCAGCTGTTTCTAGTCTCTGCATTCTACATCACTTGGTCTCCAGCTATTTCTAGTCTCCGCATCCCACATCACTTGGTCTCCAGCTGTTTCTAGTCTCCCCATCCCACATCACTTGGTCTCCAGCTGTTTCTAGTCTCCCCATCCCACATCACTTGGTCTCCAGCTGTTTCTAGTCTCCACATCCTACATCACTTGGTCTCCAGCTGTTTCTAGTCTCCACATCCTACATCACTTGGTCTCCAGCTGTTTCTAGTCTCTGCATTCTACATCACTTGGTCTCCAGTTGTTTCTAGTCTCCGCATCCCACATCACTTGGTCTCCAGCTGTTTCTAGTCTCCGCATCCCACATCACTTGGTCTCCAGCTGTTTCTAGTCTCCCCATCCCACATCACTTGGTCTCCAGCTGTTTCTAGTCTCCGCATCCCACATCACTTGGTCTCCAGCTGTTTCTAGTCTCCGCATCCTACATCACTTGGTCTCCAGCTGTTTCTAGTCTCCGCATTCTACATCACTTGGTCTCCAGCTGTTTCTAGTCTCCGCATCCCACATCACTTGAACCTGTTTTATTTTTTTTTTTCTTTAAGTTTTTGGAGATAGGTCTCATTATGTAGACCAGGCTGGTCTCAGACTCACAGAGATCTACCTGTCTCTGCCTCCTGAGTGCTGGGATTCATTTGGTGCTTCTCTTGATGGCACCTGTAACCATTTGGGACAAGACATTTGCTGCACAAGCTACTTAAAAGAGAAATTCTTGTTTTGTGTTTTCATTCTCCACAAAAGAACCCATTTTTTCGCGCCCACACTGTATGAAGATGAAGATCCCTGTGTGTCTCTAGTTTTAAGGACAGGCATTGGTCAGAACGGTGAGGGTGGGGTACGAGAAGGGTATGGCATGGCTGAACAGGAGTATGTGGCTGTGTGCTCCTTCAAACAGTCCCGGCACCGCGAGCACAGGGACGTCTGGGCTCCCGGGGCCATGGCTCCCCCTATCGCATAGCATCTCGACTTCTCAACACAGGAGCAGACACAACAGCTGGTCTCCAGGAAGCACCAAAAGGCTGCAGCTGAGGCCACTTCGGCAGAGCCTGCCTGGCTCTCCTGGGTCACACTTCCCTGACTCCCCTGCACTGGCTCCAAGGAGCCTGAAACCAATTCTCCCAGGACCTGCTGCTCTGAGCCAGGGGAGGGGTCTTAGCTGCAGAAGGAGAGACTATTTCTTAAACTTATTATTATTATTATTATTATTTTTGAGACAGTGTTTCTCCGTAGCTTTTGGTTCCTGTCCTGGAACTAGCTCTTCTAGACCAGGTTGGCCTCGAACTCACAGAGATCCACCTGCCTCTGCCTCCTGAGTGCTGGGATTAATTAAGGAGAGACTGGGGCTGGAGAGATGGCTCAGTGGTTTAGAGCACCGTCTGCTCTTCCAGAGGCCCTGAGTTCAATTCCCAGCAACCACATGGTGGCTCACAACCATCTGTAATGAGATCTGGCGCCCTCCTCTGGTGTGTAGGCATACATGGAGGCAGAATGTTGTATACATAATAAATAAATCTTAAAAAAAATGTTTAATTAAGGAGAGACTATTTCAAAGATTCAGGAGGGGCTGGAATATAATCCAATGTCCCAGAAACTGCCTGGCACATCTGAGGCCTTGCACTCCCTTGCCATCCAGTATCATAGTAATTACACGCATACAGAAAACAAGAATCCAGCCTCTGGCCAGGCAGTGGTGGTGCACACTTTTAATCCCAGCACTTGGGAGGCAGAGACAGGCGGATCTCTGTGAGTTTTAGGCATTTGTGAGATGAGACCACCCTGGTTTACACAGTGAGTTCCAGGACAGGCTGGAATATAATTCTACGATTATATAGTAAGACCCTGTTTCCTGCCCCTCCGCCAGAAAAAAACAAAAGCAAAACATCACCACCACACACACCGATGAGAAGAAAAATACCAAACCGGGATAAATGATTAGCAATGTATCTAATGAAGATTTTGTATCCGGCACATATAAAGAACTTTATACCTCAATAAAAGCCAGCAAGTCGGTTGTTGGCGAGAAGCCGCCATTTCACTAAATCTATGGTTGGCTTCACAGCTACACAAGGGATTTCCAGGGCTGTTTAGTGGAGAAATGCAAACGAGAGCTACAGTGACAGACAGCACCACACTCATTAGCACACTCATTAGCCTTATAAAAACGGTGGGGTTAGGGACAAGTGCATGCCTAGCAGGTGCCAGGTTTAATCCCTAGGCACAGAGACAGTGGCAAATGTTGGTCAGGCCATGGAAAATGGGAACTTTTGCACATCGCTAATGGGAACATCCATGAAACCATTTTGTAAAACTTATGTATGTGTCTATCTATACATACATGTTCCTGCATGAGTTATATGCACCGTGTGTGTGTGCAGGTGCCCATGGAGGTCAGAGGGTGTCTGACCCCTGTGAACTGGAGCTACCTGACAAACAAATGTGCTGGTACCCAAACCCGGGTCCCCTGCAGGAGCAGGGAGAGATCTTAACCCTGAGCCGTCTCTCCAGTCTCAACCTTCCCTCCCTCCCTCCCTCCCTCTCCTTCCCTTCCCTTCCCTCTCCTTCCCTTTCCTTTCCTTCCCTTCCCTTCCCTCTCCTTCCCTTTCCTTTCCTTCCCTTCCCTTCCCTCTCCTTCCCTTTCCTCTCCTCTCCGCCCCTCCCCTCCCCTTCCCTCCTCTCCCCTCCCCTTCCCTTCCCTTCCCTTCCCTTCCCTTCCCTTTCCTTTCCTTTCCTTGGTTTTTCGAGACAGGGTTTCTCTGTGTAGCTCTGGCTGTCCTGGAACTAGTTCTGTAGACTAGGTTGGCAACTTTTAATTTCTTAAAAAATAAAACAAAACCTCATAAATTTACCACATAATCCAGCAATATATGTCCATATCAATCAAGATTTGTACATTAGGGCTGGAACAGACAGACAAAATGTGTCATACCATCCAAGGGAACAGTATCAGCAATAAAAAAGGACTAAATTACTGACGAATGCTGTAACAAGGGTAATCTTAAAGAGCATGCGCTAAGGGGCAGAGGCCAGGCAAAGGCCAGGCACAAGAGAATCCATGAAAGGTTCCCCCGATAAGACTTTCTTTAGAATAGGCAAATCTACTACAGAGAAAATATAATGATTGTCTGGGACAGGGTGTAGGAGTGAGATTAATAGTTAATGGCATAACAGATCGTATTGGGAGTGATAAAAATGTCCTAAAACTAATTTATAGCAATGGCTGTAAAACTTGGCAAATTTTCTTTAAAAATTATTGACCTATACACTCAATATGGATGAGTCTCATGTAGGTAAAATACACCTCAATAAAATCATTAAACAGCAGCAACACCAAAGGCCGCCACACGCAAAGGGAAGCAACACAAGGAACTGGGAAGACCACGCAGACAAGCGACCAGGAGGTGCACAGGGGTGAGCCCAACAGCACCCCTCACGGGAGCAGCAGTGAGGCCTGAGAGAAGGGACATAGTGCTGCCTGTGGGAAGCTCTGCTACAGTGTGGGGAGGCCCACTTCCTGCTGTGAGTGCCTCTTACTGGGGGGGTGGAATGAATGGCTGGGTCAGTGAAAGGGGACGTGCTCTGGTGCCTGCCTGACAGAGACCTGCAGTCCCATGGCTATTCTCCACAAGGGGACTTCCTGCTCCTCTCCAAGTGCTGTGTCTTCCAGGTAGACTGCCAGTGAACCTTTGCTAACTTGCTATTTTCCTCCCCGAGAATGAGCAGACTTTAAAAAGAGGGACCTCATCAATGCCTCCTCCTCCTCCTCCTCGAGCTGAGTGCCCGTAGTGGCCCTGCCCAGCTGAGAGGCCCTGGCTCTCTAACGGCTCTGCCAGCAGCTGGGTTGTAAACTCCAGTCCTGGTGGAAGCTCAAGGAAGCTGGAGCGTTTGACCTGTCTGTCACACTGTGGACATTAACGCATCTGTGTGGTACAAAAGCCGACAGAAACTGTGCTGTCCCGTCCTCTCCCTCAAGTGCTTCTTACTGGCTCAGCTTAAGGACCAGGGCTGTGTGAGTCGTTTTCCTAAAACCCCAGTGTCTCCCAAGTGAACATCACTCACCATTGTCCTCTCCAGTCTGCCACACCTGCAAGTAATGCCCGGGAAGGCCACTGGTCACCAGCAACCTGTTCCAGAGACAGAACACCTCAGTCCAGACAGAGGGACGCTCACTTTCACCCTGGCAGCCTTTCCCCTCCAGCCCACTCAGGATCCCTCATTCAACAGCCCAGCAGGCTCACCCTGCCTTAGGGACAGGCTCACCCCTCAGAGAGAGCCACAGACCACGCCCAGGCTTTCACAGGTCATGACGGTCACCTGGGGAGGACACATGTGGGGAGCCTGAACACACAGCCTTGACAGCACTTTCCACTCTGTATCTGGTCCTGGAGCAACCCCTAGGGACCTGGTGCCTCCACTACTCAAAACGGCTGCTGAGCTCCTGGTTTCTTCATAAGTTAAACCTGTGTGCCCCGGCCCGATGTGCACCCGCCTATGCTGCAGACTGAGAAACGGGCACTGCTGAGCATTTCCCGTCATCCCCAAAGAATGGAAGGTCTGGAACACAGACTGGCCGTACCTGGTATCTGGCACGTGCTTTAGGTCAAAGACAGATCTGTCTGAAAATCCTCCATGGCACACTTTAAAATCTCTCTCCGGAAATAAACCCTAAAACACAAAGGGGTGGGGGCAATCAGACAGTACTTGAATTTTTCTTTTCTTTCTTTCTTCTTGTTTTTCGTTTTGTTCTGCTTTTTTGAGGCAGGGTTTCTCTGTGTAGCCCTGGCTGTCCTGTAACTAACTCTAACCAGGCTGGTCTCAAACTCACAGAGATCCACCTGCCTCTGCCTCTCGAGTGCTGGGACTAAAGGTGTGTGCCACCACCACCCGGTTAGCTCACAATTTTCTATAACTCTTGTCCCGGGGCATCCAGCATCCTCTTCTGACCTCCAAGGATACCAGGTGTGCACGTGGTATTCAGACAGGCGTGTTGGCAAAACACTCATACACATAAGATAAATATTTTTTTAAAATTAAGTATAGGGGCTTGAGAAGTTGCCCAGTGGTATAGCTTTCCCACAACACGAGCAAGGCCTCATAGCATCGTACACACCCAAAATAGATTAGGGGGCCATTAGAGTATATAAGTCGGTGGAAACCATATGGATGAAGGTGTGGGATCTGAGGATGAAGAGAAGACGGCAGGGACAGAACCTTAGGGAATGTATTTACATGATGCAGAGAAAGAGTCTTTGGAGCTGGAGGAAGAGGACGCGTGAGTGGCAGCTATATAAGTTCAAGGCCAGCCTGGTCTACAAGAGCTAGTTCCAAGACAGTCCAGGACAGGCTCCAAAGCTACAGAGAAACCGTCTTGAAAATCAAAAAAAGGGCCGGGCGGTGGTGGCGCACACCTTTAATCCCAGCACTCGGGAGGCAGAGGCAGGCGGATCTCTGTGAGTTCAAGACCAGCCTGGTCTACAAGAGCGAGTTCCAGGACAAGGCTCCAAAACCACAGAGAAACCCTGTCTCGAAAAACCAAAAAAAGGGGCTGGAGAGATGGCTCAGCGGTTAGGAGCATTGCCTGCTCTTCCAAAGGTCCTGAGTTCAATTCCCAGCTACCACATGGTGGCTCACAACCATCTGTAATGAGGTCTGGTACCCTCTTCTGGCCTGCAGGCATACACGCAGACAGAATATTGTATACATAATAAATAAATATTTAAAAAAACAAAAAAAAAAGAAAATAAAAAAAGAAAGAAAAAAGAAAATAAAATTGTGAGCTGTGCTGAATCAAACAGGTTGTCTGGAAGAGCAGCAGGTGCTCTCAGCCCGAGCCATCTCTCCAGCTCCGGAAACCACTTCTGATATAGTAAGATTACCCTTTATCTGTAGCCTGTTCTTTTGGGAAGCACGTAACTTTCATCAGCATCCACCCCTATATGCAGGAGCTTCCTCCTGCTGGATTTTATGGGCAGACTCAGTGCTTGCAGGGATGGACGGTACCTGGTGGGCAACAGGCACTCCCGGAATGCACGGGAAGTACTAGCTGATCGTAGTGTCAGCGTCTCTGTTTAAGTTACCTGGTTCTCCTTTACAGAGAGTCTGAGCGGCAGTATCAAATGAAGGATCTCATTTTTTTTCGAACTTCCAAAACCAGCAACAAAGACTCCTGAAACAAAGCAGTAACTATGAAAAACAGAAACACTGTGGATCGTGGCTGGATTTATAAATTCTCCCAAAGAATAAATTTCTTCCCTGTCCAAAAGTGGGCAGTCTTGTGTCAGGAGATGGAAGTTGAATGGGTCTCTAAAGGACTCAGCCAGGGGGCAGAGATTCATCCCCTTTAGTGGCAGGCTAGGTATATTACCTTTTTCACCGATCCACTCAAGGACTCGAGTGGCCCCTGAAAGGTCAAACGCGTGGAAATCTTGGTACCTGCAGGATAGGATTACAAAAATCATACGGCGCACGACACTGTTGAGCTGACCAAGAACTCTGCTATCGCTGCAGGATTAGCGGTCCAGGCTCTGGAGTCAGCTAGATATGGGACTGAGTCTTTTTTCCGCATTTTACTCCCTGTGTGTATCAGACCAGGCACCGACCCCATTCTTATCTGTTGGAACTACCAGGGTTCCGCAGAGCTGATTTTCCCAAGTTGAGGTGATCACTGGAAAACCTGTGTTCAAGTTAACCTAGAGGCCAGCGCAACATAACCAGTCTTCACGAATGAGCGAGCATCTGGCCTCATCACTTGTTTACAAAAAGACCGAGTGTCCCAGAGCGAGAGGCCGGGAATCAGGACCCTCCCCGCCCGGCCGTGTCTGGGCACCGCCCGCGAGCCCACCCCCGGGTCCCTGCTGCACGCGCCCTCTCCCACTGCCAACCAGACCCGCCCACGGCCCGATTTACAAGCGCAAGGACTCCACCAGCCAGTCCTCCGCGAGCTCCATAGCAACTGTCGCTTCCGCCACTCCACTTCCGCCAGTCTGACTTCCTGGGCAGGCGCGCGTTCTCGCGAGGAGAGGGCGTGGTTTTCCGCCTAGCGGTGTCGGGAGCGCTCAGCGCGGCGCGCAGCCCTGCTGATCCGGGGGAAAGAAACGGTGCAGAAACAGAGATTCTTCGATGTCAGCTCCAAACAGGACCGGAGACATCAAATATGTCCTTGTTTTAGGATCAAGTATGTGCAGCCGAAGAGCTGTCAGTGTCCCAAAGCCAGGTACAATACAGACTCTATTGGAACTTAAGGTGAACAGTTAATTTAAAAGTTTGCGTGAATATGCTCGTGAAGGATACTTTAGGATTTTTTTTTTTCTTAAAGGAATCTTGTTGGGCTAGAGATGTAGCTCAGCTGGTGGAGTGCTTGCTTGGCATGCACGAAGTTCGCTTTCCAGTACCGCGTAACTCCCACCCCACCACACACACACACACACCCGGCATGGTGGCGCACGCCTGTAATTTCAGTGCTCAGGAGATAGAGGCAGGAGAATGAGAAGTTTTAGGTCATCACCCGCTACATAGGGAGTTCGAGGCCAGTCTACGTTACACAACACTGTCAATAAAGTATCTGACACTCGTGTATATTCGATAACTGACACCCTGTACGGAGGTCCCTAGCACCAGAGAAGACTAAGAGCAGCAGAGCTGAATTCCGGCGTGATTCTCTCCTGTGCGTACCAGGTCCCGCACTAAAGCTTGGGATGAAAGATGGGGTGAGTGTAGCATAGCGCAGCATCGTGTAGGCAGCTCACCCTCACAGGCAGAGACACTTTAGGTCGTAGAAACGGCAGTGAGCCAGAGCAGCCAACCCAGTATTTAACTGCCGAGAGTTGGCAATCATTCATTGCCCAGTTGGCGCCATTGTGAGGGGTGATGGGGCTTTCCTGAGACCACCCCATTGACAAACACACCACCCTCCAAAGTCCTTTCCCCTTTCTTCAAACCGGGGGCGGGGGTGGAGGGGTGGAAGGAGAGGCCCAGACAGTCTGTGTAAAGAGCAGTGTTTTTTTTTTTTTTTTTTTTTTTTTTTTTTTTTTTTAAATATTTATTTATTTATTATGTATACAATATTCTGTCTGTGTGTATGCCTGAAGACCAGAAGAGGGCACCAGACCCCATTACAGATGGTTGTGAGCCACCATGTGGTTGCTGGGAACTGAACTCAGGACCTTTGGAAGAGCAGGCAATGCTCTTAACCTCTGAGCCATCTCTCCAGCCCAAGAGCAGTGTTTTTATTTGCAACTTCACCAGGGAAGCAAGAAATGCAGCAGGAGAACCTTGCTGTCTGCATCGTCAACATTCCTGGTGACCCAACCAGAAATCACAGTAAGGGAGTAACACATTTGAGCTTAGGATCTACATCCGATGGGGCCACTGCTGGGGTTCTGTTCAGCAGCTGCCCTGGATGGACACATTCTAAGCCATGTTGTGTTCCTCCCGTTATTGGCATCACTTCTTCAGTACTGGCTCCAGCGACCCCCTGTACTGAAGACAAAAAGAGAAGACTTGACCGTGGAGTCCACAGACCATAGGGATGTGCTGGGTGTGCACAGAAGTGGGCAGGAGCGGGCTCTCGCCTGGGTCTCTGAGTTGCCCATAATATAGCACCAATTTCACAGGGTCGTCATGACAACTAAAGGGCACCACGGACATCAAGTCCGAGGCACACGTGTCAGTGCCACTCCTCTGCCACCCCAAGCTCCGCCCCAGACCTCTCTGATGCTCCCTACCACGGGCCTTGGCAGTATTGCTTCCTCAGGGAGTCTCTGGTTGGTCTGGATATTTCAGGCCTTCAAAATAATGCCCCTAGAGGTGATGCTATCTCTCACTGGACCCTGCCAACCCAAGCTTCTTGCTCTCGCATCTGAGGTTCCTAGGATGTTTGCTGGGACTCTGCAGGTAGACTTTCTCGAAGGACTGTCTCTCCTTGCAGCACATGCGCACTGCTAGGCACAGGGTGGGGGAAACAAACGGGGTCAGCGGCAGGAACTGCCAGGGGCTCGCAGACAGGTGGTGGAGCTCCTGCTTACCAAGAGCTGGCTGTGTGCCCAGCACCATACTGTGCATGGGACATAAATGGGCCGTTGTCTCCATTTGATGAAGAACATGAGGCTTAGAGTGACATTTCTAAGGCCACCCAACTACTAAGCAGCTAAGTGTGACCCTGGCATACATTTCCACCCCATCACACTGCCTTCTGCACACAGCAGTAAGTACCAAGGAGAGTGATGTGCCCTGGGGCCAGCACCAGAAGCAAAGAGTGGAGGAGCTGCCACCCAGCCAGGCAGGACCCTAAGGCTTGAGCACCACAGGTTAATGCATTCCAGCCAGTGGTGATTTGATCGCACTTCTCCCCGGGGGACATCAGCTTGATGTCTAAGGACTCCTCGTAAACCATCCTCCTGCCTCAACCTCAGAAGTATCAGGGACTGCAGGCAAATGCCCCATTCTTGACCGGGAGGGGACTTTGATTCTCACAGCTGGATAAGGAGAGGGACTGTTACTGACATCTGGTAGGTGGAAACCAGGGATGTGTTAAGCATCCTAAAGACACAGGACAGCCCCAAGCCTACACTGTTGAGAGCACTGGCTTATGATAAAGCCTGCCGTTGGCAAGTGGACAGGAGATGGAAAGCAGGCTAGTCCTGAGTTCTGTCTCCACTCTAGGACTTAGAGGTCACAGCTTGGACCACAGCACAGCCTGGAACAGCAAGGTGGCCTTGGCTAGTGCAGTGGGTGACAACTGGGATGGACAAGGGTGTGTGGGACAGAGTAGGAAGGTCTGCTTAAGGGCTTGGACAATCCTAGTCTGTGACTTCAGGCTGGGGATGGGCAAAGAGGGACTTCTTCCCCATGCAATCTGCTGCGTCATTTTCTGGTCTTTGGGTATTTGCTCTTTGAGCCCTGGGACCCTGGCTTTCTGGAATCCCTACTCATTACACCCTGTCTCGGCAGTCCCACCCTGAACCTAAGCTGGGTGGCCCTTCTTCCATGTAGGTGCTAGGGTAGGGGCTCACCTGAATTGGGGAAGCTGGGCCACTGGGGTTCATGCCTAAAGCTTTCTTTAGCAGAAGGATTCTGAGCAGATCGTGACTCAGCTGCAGCCTCTGGTCCCTCTGGATGTTGGGAGGTGCTGTCCCCACCAGCGACAGGCTTGGGGGCTCCAGGCTTTTCTTGCCCATGAAGTGACCTAAAAAAGAGGTGCCAGGGTACATGGAAGCTAGGGAGTGAGGACCCTGTGACCACAAGCAAGTTCTGGTCTATTCCACCGTTCAGCTCTCACAGAGGGAAGACAAACGTTTCTGCTCAGCAAGAAGCCACAGACATCTGGGTGGAGGCAAAGCTGACAGCCTCAGTTTTTCCCGACCCGCTGGAAGAAGGGTAGAGAGCCCAGGACCAGGGAGAGATGCCAGGGAAGGAAGTGGAGAAGGTGCCTTGGAGACAGATGGGCAGAGAAGACATGAGTGAAAAAAACCTAGCAGTCTGCCTAAGGTAAGAGGTACCGACTGACTGACAACCAGAGCTAAGATGCTGGCCAAGCTCAGTCTTCAACTTGCCAAGTCCGTGGCTGCTGGATTTGACCTGTTAATTCCCACTTATTAAACTTGAGCCCCCAGGAGTTCTGTCACTACGAGCCTCCAGAGAGTTGAAAGGAAACTGGGGACCGAGGAGAAGGAGGCACGCTAGTTGACGTCCCCAAAGACTTACCGGTGGCCCAGAGGTTGCCCCGGGGGTGCACTCGGATCTTGCTGGCTCGGCTGCGGGGCTCCGGGAGATCCCAATTGAAGGGAGCGACGCCGGCAGTGAACAACACGAAGAGGAGGAGACTGCGAAGCAGCCGAGAGCCCCTTGTCCGCCCGGTCATGGCTGTGCCAAGCGGGTTCTTCTTTGGCACTCAGATATTAGTTAGCGAAGCCCGCCTTCCAGCCTTTAAAACTACTGTCTGAGCAGCGGAGCCCGCTGGAGGCGCTGAGCTCGCCCCGCCCCAGAGCTCCGCCCTTCTCAGGCTCCGCCCCCAAAGCCACCGGAGTTGGTCACTGCCTCACTGGAGTTTCCGCAGAAGCCCACCGCAGTTTTAGTGCAACCTGGCGTGTGGCACCGCCCCACAGCAAAAGTGGTTCCCAAGACCCTCCTTCGCCAGATTTCTGCTATCTTGTCGTTTTTACAGCAGCCCTCAAAGCTTCTCCTTGAGGCTAAAGTGAAGCGAAAAGTCCCCCTCCTGGTAGTGTGGGTGTTTAGCATCACCTAACAGAGGAACTCCATAAAGGAATTCTGTCACCTCCTCCGTCTCAAGACATCTGACCCTTGCTGGCACCTCTCTGCTTTCTCACAGTTAGCACACGCTGGGTAACCTGGAAAAGTTCTGTGCCCAGAATGGGGATAGGATGATAGGGAAGGGAGCAAGGAGCTGTCCCCAACAGTGGTACCACTTGGAGATCCTGGTCTATCATAACGGCAGGTGGCAGACCTGCCCCGCGCGTCAGAGCAGTGGAAAGAGCACTGGGCCAGGGACGCTACTGTAAAATGGAAATAACCATACTGCTTATACCTTTAAGAGTTTCACATCTTTCAGTACAACCATTAAGGAGCAGCCCTAGCCGGGCGATGGTGGCGCACACCTTTAATCCCAGCACTCGGGAGGCAGAGGTAGGCGGATATCTGTGAGTTCGAAACCAGCCTGGTCTAGAGAGCTAGTTCCAGGACAGGCTCCAAAGCCACAGAGAAACCCTGTCTCGAAAAACCAAAAAAAAAAAAAAAAAAAAAAAAAAAAGGAGCAGCACTGTCTTCTTGTGGAGTTGTCGTGACTGGTCTTGGAAAGGATCTCCAGTCATCATTGTCCTCACTTAGTGAGCGGGGCAGATATGTGCTCCAACCCCTGTATTGTTGAACTGTTCACTGCACACCAACATCTGGAGCACTGTGGGAGGGCCAGGAGGGGACACCATCTCCCGGCTACCAAGAGTGCATCTTCTCATTGGAAACTAGGTC